CACAGATCTCTTCAAAGCTATACGGTATTTTGAGGGACAGGTATCTTCAGTAGTGAGGGCTATTACTCAGAAAATTATTTATCTGGGAAGTATTTCTCTTTACCTATTGCTATGCTTAGCTATTTTGCCTCAGATTAATGTCAGTGATTTAATTGCTCTTTTCATTAAGATGTTGAGAAAACTGATGATGGTGTTCACATTTCCTTGAACAAGGTAGAAGAGCAGCTATATCAGCATGACCTGTCTCTCTTGGCCAGGCCTCACCAGTGAATTGAACCTCTTGAGGACAGACAAGAGCTTGTGCTAGAACAGCGAAAGCTGGTAGCTTTATGTTTAAAAGGTGTTGGCGGTATCTATGTGCTGTGAATGGCCATGATGCAGTGAGCAGGCTTATTTTATGTAGTGCTGGTGAAACTCCTTGTGTCTAAGAGATTACTGGGTAATTCAGGGGGAGCAACTGGCACTATTCTTCATATAGTCCAAGAACCCCATTCAAGAAATTCTACTCTCTTCTGCTATGGAAAAACTCAGTATGGTAGATATCTATGAGCAAGACATCACCTGTATTCTGGATCTTGCTGATCCAAAATTTAAGTATGCATGGGTTCCCATAAAGGTTCTGTGCTTCGGCTAGTTTCTACTACTCCTGTTCAAATGGAAGCTGACAGCTTTTTTTTCTGACTGACAGGAAAAGAATGAGTTAATTTCTTTCTGAGAATGAGATTGTCACATTAACTGTGTCATTAGCTGTCACAGCACGCTGTATTAACAAGAAGTACAATACAACCCCGTTCTTCTTCTGAATAGTTTTTTAGATGGGGAAATGTGGTGCAGCAGAAATTTCAGCCCCATTTTACACACTTCTCAGCTAGTTATTTGCAGAAATGAAAATGGAATTCTGGAGAAATGTGCAAGGCCCACTGGAAAATCTACTTACACTGCAGATCATGGCAGAAAAATACAGTTGTCTATATTTTAAGAAATGCTTATGTGTCTTATCTGACTCAACTGCTTTTATGAGACAGATTCACCTGTCATTTAGACTTCTGTTGCCATTGTCTTCTTCTCACAAAAGAGAAAAAAAAGCATTACCCAAATAATTGTTTTAGAATGTTTGCAGAGACATTAAATTAAAGATTTAGGACGCAGATTCTCATAGGAGTGAAGGAACAGCTTTCATAATTCAGCATGCTGTAATTAGAGACTGCAGTCACAAAGATCTTTGGTCAGAGGTCTGCATGTAGACCCCACTGCAAATTTGGGTGCACATCAATGCACACATTGTAATGTACTCAGAAAACGAACTGTTGCACAATCTTTTAGTAACACTCATTGAGACTGTGGAAGGACAAAAGGAATAGCAGAAAGGCAAGAGGCAAAGATCACATATGCTCATACACATATAGGAGCCTCTCCTAGGAAGAAAGGTTGAGGGAGCCGGGCTTGTTTAGCTTTGAGAAGAGAAGGCTCCATAGAGACCTCATTGTGGACTTCCAATATTTGAAGGAAGCGTATAAACAGGAGGGGGAATGGCTGTTTATGAGGGTGGATTGTGATAGGACAAGGGGGAATGGTTTTAAATTAAGATGGGAGATTTACGAGACTGATTTAAGGTTTTAAACTAAGATGGGAGAGGTTTAGGTTAGATATTAGGAGGAAGTTTTTCACTCAGAGGTTGGTGATGCACTGGAACAGGTTGCCCAAGGAGGCTGTGGATGCCCCATCCCTGGAGGCATTCAAGGCCAGGCTGGATGTGGCTCTGGGCAGCCTGGTCTGGTGTTTGGTGACCCTGCACACAGCAGGGGGTTGAAACGAGATGATCATTGTGGTCCTTTTCAACCCAGGCCATTCTATGATTCATACACATAAAGACATTGATTTCTATGAGAATGTTTAGCACTGACAATCTTCATACAAGGGTATGCCAGACTTCTCCCTGGGGAAGCAGCAGAGTGCAGTGCTTTTTACAAAACATTTAGCACAGTGATGTTCTTTTGCGATGACCTGTTAACTCTGAGAGATTTCATTGTGTGCTTTCAGCGGGGCTTACAGTAAATGCTCAATTTAGGTAAAGTCACGATCTAATTAAACAAATTCACTCTGTATCCCTGCTGGGCTGTTCAAGATTTGTCTGTCAAATATCTCTAAGCAATTTTGTTTTCTATAGCAACAGTTAATTGGATATGTAACTGTCAGTGTGCTTTAAATGAGGCTGATGGGATTAGTAATTGAATGCTTGGATTAATGACTTACAGCTGGCTTTGCTATGCTGTTTGTTGTTTACAGCAGGGTTCAGGATATCTCCCCAGCCTGAGCAGGCAGGGGGAGTAGTGGACTATAACTGCAATACACCTGTGATACAATGTTCTTTTCCCCAGGCTGAACAGCCTCAGCTTAGCCTTTCCTCATAGAGGAGATGCTCCAGGCCTTTTATCATCTTTGTGACCCTCCACTTGACTCCTTCTAGGAGATCCCTGTCTTTTTTTGATAATACTTAATAGTTTAATAATAATTATTTCAGTATATCAAATTAGAACATACTTGTGTTCTTACGATTATTCTATCTGGGGAACCATTATCTGAAACAGTGAACATTTATGTTATAATTTCTTGTATTTATGAAATGCTTATGAACAATTATAAAGTATTATAATCATACCTACAAATAATTACAAAGTAATTTTTGTAATAACATTTTAATAGCTATTTACTGTATATTGTACTACATATTAAATATAGTTTAACAGTAAATATATAGAAAATTCAAAGTTGTGCTTTGCATGTTTCATCTAATAGAATCTGCCAGGCTCATCTGAGAATGCACAAAGTAAGATGTGGGAATAGCACAGTGACCTTTCCTCATTGTCTTAAGATTTCAGCTTAAGCTTTAAGGCAGAGCTCCAGCTGCATGCAGTGTTGCAGTCAGAAACCATTCTGGGCATTAGCTTCTCTCTCACTCATGATCTACCCCTCTATGTGAATTCCATTTGATTCAGGAAATCCTTTTTTGCATCCTTGCTCTAGTTAGTACCTATTAAAAAGCCCAACTCATCCTTGCTCCACCTCAACTAGGCTATCTTTTTCTTTCAATTTCTTCCTAGTGCAGAAGCATTAAGCCCTTTGGCAGGACTGGATCCTTCCACACATTGTTATTCATATTCAGTTTTTGTTATACTTAGTATTCAGACCAGTGATGTCATGTGTGGCTTAACTCTGGATACTGACTGCCATGTAAAGATGCCGGGAACAGTGATAAAAGCCAGGGAGAGGGAAGGTAGAATCTGGTTTTTGGTCTCAGGGTGACATTTCTTCCTTGAGAATATCCTCGTAATTAATGTTCTTTCCAGATACCAGGCTTTCCTCTTTTCTACTTTCATTTCAGTAAAGCTATACAGCTGTTTCAATAATCATTTGGAGAACTGACAACCCCGGGGATGTTCTATGAGAGGAAAATTATGGGATCCTTACAGAACATGGACCAAGAGTGAGATGCCCTCACACCTGTATCCAGTTAGGTGTACTTAATGTACTTTCTTACTATGTAAAATAAGAGGAAACAAAATAATTCATTCTGCAAGGTACATGCTAGATCACTTCAATTTTGGGAATTTCATTCCTCCTTAAATCATAAAATTGTTAACTAAGAGGGATGGGTGACAACAGCTGGTAAACCTTTGGCCACTGCCAAATCAGTGCAACAGTTTCAATTACATTACAGTGCTCATTTCAATTAAAAGACTGGCATGAGCCTCTCTTAAACTAAATTGGGAGTGAGCTCTAGGGAGAAGTGAATAAATGTTGGAATATAAGAGAGAAACTGCATTGTGATTTTAGTTCTTTATGGAGTGTGATTTTCAAGCACACCTGTTGCTGCATGCCCCCCACAGCCTGGCTTGCATTGTGGCACAGCCTGAAGTCCTTCTGGACGAAACCCTACAAGACGATGTGTTCCAGGAGCCCATTCCACATTCTTCACCTGTGAGTGGGCAGGATTTTGGCTGCTTCAGAGAATGCTCTGAAGGCCAAGGCAAAAGTTATCACAACTATTAGGCTTATAAGTGTGTATTTGGACACTTCACTCAGACTAATGTTTAAAAGTACTGAGTACCTAGAAAACCCTGCTGTCTTGAAGTTAAAGTCAGACCTTTAAGCTGCTTCCTATGCCAGTAGGAATTACTGTGCAAATCTAAGGTACAGACACCAAGCCCTGAGACAGGGGTGGTTTTAGACATCTAGCTCCCACAGGCTATTTCAATAGTAGTCAGATATTTAAACAGCTTTGAGAATTTTGTCTATATAAATGTTAAGTGTAAGACCTGTGGTTTTAAATGTCTTGACCGTATGACCTGAAATTACTGTCAGTGTGAGTGGATAAGGAGATTTTTATCATACTAATGTGTGGGAGGTAATGAGCAGCTGTAGGTGGGGGAAAAGTGCTGACACCTGATCTAGGAAGCTAAGAGAATAGTCAGGCAGAAATATACAAGGAAGCATAAATGGGGGTGGGAGCCGCCCTTCACTGCAAATGCTGGAAGACTGGTGATGGGTTTCCCATCTATTCTCATACATACTTACACTGCCTTCATTTGAAATAGACAAGACTGACTAGCAATTTCCCATATTTCAGTAATGTAAAAGTGCTTTATAGCAGCTGAGGAATCAAACAGAAAATTGCTCCGTAGGAAATCATTTATCAGGTGCTCCGTAAATTCAGAATTTTGATTTTTTTAAATGAAATTTTTGGTCATGTTTATTGTGCACCAATTCACTTACTGGTGATTAAGTCAGTGTCTGTAACTTAAAGGCCAAACACACAGTCTTACATGGGATGAATGCAACAGCTGTCACTAAACAATTGTGGCATTGTGTTGTGAACTAGAGAAATGTTTTTAGAGCTTTAAGTCAAACATGTTTATGAACTGTTTTCACGTGAAATGGTTAAGGACAGTGAATTCAGCTAATTGGTTAGAATGAGAGCAAATAGAGAAAATACAATAATATCCTCTTTAGAGCATATATTTATTATTCTGGTATTCTAAGTCGTTGAGAAAACTAAAAACAAAAATTCATTTCAGGTGTTGTGTGTGCAGTACAAATTCTGTAATTACAGAACAGTTTGGTGTTACTACGCTCACCATTAAGAAAAAAATGATATGTTTGATTAAATAACAGAGAAAAAAGCATTTCAGAATTGATGCAATTAGGATGAAGAATTTATTGTATATACGGTAAAGCAATTCTACTGTAGACGTACTTCCTGTTTAAAGAAAATGAATACAGTAATCAAAATCATTTTAGCATGGAAACTACAGCACAGACGGAAACTTGACTAAAACAGGAATTAGTTATTTGACTTGAAAGAACACAGGACCTGGAACAATAGATCACAGGTTGCATCATTAACCAGGACGGTAAAAAAACTGTACAATACAAGCACACATTACAATAAGTTATGACCAATAAGGCAGTCTCTCTCATTTAGGACAAAAGGGATAAAGGGAAAGGTATTAAAATCTCATAAATCCACCGTATCTCTTTTCCATCTCTGGGACCTCTTTGGAATAAGTTTCCCCATCTTCTTCTGAAGGGAGAATGGAATCAGCGAAGCGCTTGAGAAAGCCGCCGTACCGTTTCTGGTAATCCAGCCACCACTCTGGCCTGCCCACTCTTCTCATGAAACCACCGTATCTCTTTTGCAGCTCCTTGGCTTCATCTTCCAGTTCTGGACTGCGCTTTATGCTTCTCATGAAACCGCCGTATCTTTTGCTGACGTCTCCATCATTTTCATTTATTCCTCGGTAATGCGCCGCTTCAGGGTTATCCCCTGCTCCTAAAAGCTCCTTCAGCAGATCAGAGGAATTAGCCAGGGCATCGTCATCTGAGTCCTTCTTCATGAACCCTCCGTACCTCTTAGCCAGGATCTCTCCTCCATTAGCTTCATCCTCTGACTCTGGGTGGTAGAGCTCATCCATTTTCTTCATGAAACCCCCGTATCTCTTCATGAAGCCCCCATATTTCTTGGCAAGCAGATGGTTCTCATCCAGCTCTTTTTTGTCTCCTGGAGCAGCGTTTCCATCCTCAGACAGGTCCAGTTTTGTCAGCTGCAGCAGCTCCTTGCAGGTCTCCCAGGCCTTGGCAGAAGGCAGCTTTCCTTCACATTCTAGTGTACATGCCTGTAAAACAGATGTGGTTTACTGAGGGTGATTCGATAGTAACAAACCTTGTCTTAGCTCCTCTTCTTTTTAAAAGACCACAAGGGAGCTTCTCTAAAGAGAAGCTGAGTGCCTTGGAAAGACTACTCTTTGTGCCTAAAGTTTTTCATATCCTTTTGTGAAGGAACTGGCAATACCTATTTAAGGGAGGGAATAAAGCTGGGTTATTGCTCCTGAATTCCAAGGCCATCTCTAGGATTCTGTTTCAAAGACAGCCCTTGCCTCTCCATTACCAGGGTGAATTTTTATGAGCTACTGTGTTTAATAGTGGGAATTTATAAACCAGTTGTGGTTCACTGCATAATGAATGTGCATCATTAAAAGTAACACTCAGTTATGTTACAAAAGAAGCAGGGGAGTGGAACTAGATGACCTTTAAAGATATTTTCCAACTCAAGTGATTCTGTGAAGCTTTGAGGTTGTGGAAGCACTCAAGGCCAGGCTGGATGGGGCTTTGGGCAACTTGGTCTAGAGGGAGGTGTCCCTGCCTATAGCAGAGGGTTGAAACGAGATGATTTTAAAGGTCCCTTCCAACCCAAACCATTTTATGATTCTATGATACTTGGAATAAATCAAACAGCATCACTGTTGCAAAGAGGCCAGCTGAATCACACTGTTCTGCACCTTCAATGCAGTGCATGGCTCTAAAGGCTGTATTTTTGTATAATACAATTTGTTGATTTATGGAGCATATCTTTCATATGTGTGCCAATTCTAATGAAGATATACAGACTTTCTTAGGCAGAATCAAACATCTGGTTTTGCTGGCTTGACTTAGAAGGCAGTGATCAACAGAAAGGGGAAAAACATCCTGAGCTGTGTTTGACAGTAAAGAAAATTTTTCATGGCAAGAGTTATCAAAGTTTTCAGCACTTGCACGCATCTCAGGTAACCAGTTAATAGTAACATACATATTAGCTCCCATCTCTGTTGTGTTGGGGAGTTTACTTGTGAGACCAAACTCTTCAGCTGCAAAAAGAAGAAATCATCAAGTTTTTCAGTACTGGAAACAGTTATTTTGTCTGGATGATGTTCTCTAAGGATCTCAAACAGTTTGGAAAGTGTGAAACTAAATATCAGCACAGTTTTCTCTTAACATCTTTCTGACCAGTTCACTACCTCTGATCTTACCTGTCTACTGAGCTCGCTTTTATCCTGAGAACTTGGCACACAATTTTTGATATGATTACAAGAAAATGAAATGGACTTCTGTACTTTGCATCACAGTGATTTATTTTATCACACACTCCATGCTTATTTCTATATGCTATACTTGTGCAATAAAGCGAATGTGATCTCAGCTTCAGCCTGGCTTTGAAATTGATTTAAATCAAAGCAAGAATAAATCTGTTCTTCCCTTCTCATTAAGTTTAAACAGCCTATTGCCAAATGAACGTATATGAATGACCAGGTTATATCTTACAGATACAACATGATAAAATCAGTTCTGATGTTACCAGACACCAGTATCCAGAAACATTTGCCTCCAGAAACTGTACCTGGATAAGAAATACATGTTATGGCACGTTGCTTCTTTTCCCATTTAAACTAATAAGTGTTGCTAATGGGTGGAAATGTAATTCTTGAATAACTGATGAAAGTATGCAAAGGAAAATGTCTACACTACATAGACACCCACAACAAACACACAGCCCTCCTTCCAAAAAGGCAAGCTGCCGCTTCTTTCTGGTTAGCATTAAAGTCGAAGCTTCATTGAAATCTGGAACATATGAATGCAGACCAATATATACAATGTAAACAGAACTTCTTCAGAACCATCCTAATACTATAAACCCACTGTGGTTACCAGAGAGTCCTTCCTTTCAGAGCAAGCACTTCAAGCAGAAGCGCTCAGTGCTCCAAACTCTGCACAGAACAGCCCCAATCCTTTCTTTTTACTCCCAAACAACCAGTGAGACCTTAAGAGGAAAACTTTCCTGAGCGCTGAGAGGTGCTGAGAGTGCGGCAATCTGCGGCCGGGAGCTGCGGTACCACCGGCACCGGACCCCGATCCGCCTGTGCTTACATTGCAAGTTGTGCTGTATCTCTGACTGCATTATCGAATAATTTCAACGTCATGAAATAATAATAATAAAAACATTCTGGAGCTTTGTAACGCGATTTACCTCGGGAGGAGCTAAAATGTCAGAGGGATGACTACGGGCACGCTGCTAATTCCATCACCAGCGCAATAAAAGACAGCGATGCTCCGGGCGGACTCGGAGTTCGCCGCGAGATCCCGTTCCCTTCAGCCCCAACTCGGTTCTTCCCCCGCTGCCCGAGGCTGCCCGGCGAGGGGACCCTGCGCTGTTTCCTTCCAACCCAACTCCGCTGTCCCCCTCGCCCCGTCCCTCTCCGTTCCCTACCCCATCCCCTGCCCTCGTCCCGTCCCGCCCGGCCGCTTACCAGCGGGTGGATGTCGGCGCGGGGCCCCAGGCGGTAGGCGCAGGCCGCGCAGTCCCGCCCGCAGTCCGCTCGCGCCCGCGGCAGCAGGCAGGTGCTGAGCGCCAGCAGCGAGCAGCCGAGCCGCAGCAACAACGCCATGTGGCTGCAAGAAGGAGAGGTCAGATCAGACGGTGGCCGCGGCACCCTGGCACCCCCCCTCCTCCCCTCCCCGGGGCTGGAAAAAGCTCAGCCGACGCTTTTTCAACCGCATTCCGCGTGCAACTCTCGCAAGAGCAAGAACGGCTGCCGTCCAAGAAAGCACTCGTCCCAAACCCCTCACCGCACCCCCCTCAAAGCCCGAGCCTCGGCTCCCGCCTGAGCCCGGCGCTGCATCCCCGGCAGAGCCGCCCCGACGGCGCGGGGCACTCACACAGCGCTCCCCTCGGGACTCGCGGCGGTCGCTGGGCAGCGCCTCGCTGCTGGAGCCTCGGCGTCGAGCCGCGGGTGTTTGTAGCGGGGCTGAGCGGCCAGCGCCTCCGGAGCAACTCCAGAGGGGGGAGGGACGGACAGCCCGCGGCTTCTACCGGCCGAACCGAGCCGCGCCGAGCCGAGCGGAGCGGGTGCGATGTGTGAGGAGCGGGCACTTTATAATTAGGGAACGCGGGCAGAGCGCGGTCTCCCCCAATCGCCGCCGGGCTCCCGCTGACGCAGCACCTACGACATCCCCCTCGACCCCCCCAGTACCGCTGCTCCCCTTTACGGGTGGCTCCGGCGGGGTGGGCGAGAGCCCCGGCCGTCGGGACAGGGGGCTCCGGCGGAAGCGTGCAGCGTCGGCGTGAGTCAGGGGCAGCGTGGCCCTGCGGAGCAATTTAAAGAGTTTTGTTTTTTTTTCTCCTGGAGTTTCTATGTGTGACCATTTTCCTTCCCAGCCCTCTTTCTGCCAAAGCAAACAAGTGCTGCTCTGCAGCTCTCTGCCTCGAGGTAGACCCTCGCAGTGGAAAACGTTCTCTGCATTTGCTGCCCTTTGAGTTCATCATTTGTGGGCCTAAGTGAAGGGACTTTACACAGTCTGCTGAATGAAATTCCATAAGGGTACCCTTCTCCCAGGGGAAGAGGGAGATTTAGAGTGGGTATAGGAGAGATTTAGGCTGGATATAAGGAAGATTTTTTATGCTAAGGTTAGTGAGGCACTGGAACAGGTTTCCCAGAGATGTGGTGGATGACCCATCATCCCTGGAGACATTCAAGGCCGGGCTGGATGGGGCTCTGAGCAACGTGATGTAGCTGTAGGTGTCCCTGCTCATTGCAGGAGAGTTGGAGCACGTGACCTTTAAGGGTTCTCTCCAGCTCAGTAAGAAGAAGACACTTCAGTTTGTGCCTCCCCAGGTCTGAAGCACAGCCAGGCCCTTGTCCTTCAGGACCAACATGGACCCCAGTGCTGTCACTGTATGGAAGTGGTGCTTTCTGCCACCTTGGCCTGTCCATCAGATACTCAGATTAAGGAGGCTCAAGTGCATTCTGGGAGCGGCAGAAGTATATCAAAGACAGCTCTTGTATAAAATCATTGTATATGAAAAGAAAACCAGTCTCTCTATTCCTCAGTAGTCTCAGCCACACTTGGTTAGTGAACCCTCAAGAGACAGGGTAGCCTTTTAACAACCACTGCATGTGTGTACTTGTTTCAGCACTTGGAATAACAGACTAATTGCTGTGCCACTGAGTCAGCGTGTGTGCTGCAGGGCTTTGGGCAGGTACACTGTGGCCTCTTGGCTCTGCCCTGGTAGCATGGCTGGGGAGGCTCTGACTAACTCCAGAGGTGACACATTCACTGCCTCTTTTGCTGTTAGGATGCTCTTTAAAAATAGACTTTTTTCCCCCCAGGTTTTGGACATATCAGATGAATCCTCTGGGTCAAGTACTGACCCTCCCTTTCTGACCATCAGTTCTGTCATCATCTATTGGCTTGTGCTCTAACAGCATGCTGTGGTGGGACAGATAGCTCACTAGGATCATGATTATTCTCCTTCCCACGTTCTGGGGCTGACTGGTTCCCACTGCCACAGCTCTGCATGCAGGCATCTCTACTCAGCCTGCCCACTCAGCTGCTACGTCTGCATCCTCATTTGCTACACTTTTAATGTCACAAATGTATGCAGTCTGGTTGTGACGAAAGCCAGCCAGGGCTGGCATCTCATAGTGCACAGAGAGGCAGATAAGTCCTGCAGATAGTGTTCAGACCTCAAGAGCAGAAGAGATGTGGTGAGGAAGGAGTAAGGCACATACATTGTCTGAGAAAAAGGCAGGTAGATGTCCCTGTTCATTGCAGGGGAGTTGCGTAGAGGACCTCAAAAGATCCCTTCTACCTCAAATGGTTCTATGATTCTATAATTCTGTACCCAGCACTCTTTGGTTCACCTGCTTGTCTCTTTACTCTGCTGGTGGAGTCTTTGCTGCTCCTCATTGTGAGTCCTTATGGGTGGGGTTGTGCATGAGTCCTCTTTGCAGGGGGAGGATGAAAGCAGGAGAGAATTTGAACTGTTTGGACAAAAGAAAACCGAGCAAAAGCTCCATAAAAATTACTTATTGTAGGAGTGGGGAATAATATTTCCTCAGCAACAGAGATCTGAGGAACAAAGAAATAAAGAGGCACAAAGAGAAAGGGAGCACTTTTCACAGCAGTAACGATGATAACTTGTTGCTCCCTACTAACTGGGTAATAACAGAGTCCTGCTGCTGATAAAAGCTTTGGCTTTTATAACATCCAGAACTGCCTCAGACACCAACTGTTTTTTATCTGTCATCTAAATATACCACACAAAGGCAAAATGTTTGTGCTGCAGTAGTTCTTGAGGCCCCAAGGGCTCCGTCGTCCTAAGGCTTGTCCAGACAGCAGACTTCAGCTAGGAAGAGAGGAAGGGAAGATGAAATCCTAATCTTAATGGCAGAGAACTGAGGAACATAATTTGAATGACTTTATAAAACTATGCCAAAAGTGAGCAGCAGAGTTAGAAATTGGAACTCTTGAATTTCACGTTGGTATCTTTACTGCGGGAACAGCTTTCCTTCCCAAACTGTACTCATTGTGCTAATTGAGCTGCTTCAAAATCACTGAATGAAGATAGATTTATGGAGATAGGAGCGAGCAAACTGCTAGCACCCCAAGCAGCCCTCCATGTAACACAGAGCCCCTCCAATAGAGTCAAAATGAGGACTGGTGAACATAAATCAGCATTCTATCTTGATTATTTTCTTCAGCTCAGTGCAAAAGGTCACAGTGTTTCTTAAGACCAAACAGTCAGGTTCCGTTTAGTTCATTTAAATTAGCTTTGTTTATAATGGGAAAATGGATAACTGATATCAGAGTTGAGAAAGGCATTGCAGAACAACTCTCCTCTACCAAACAAGCATCACCAAGGTAGTTTACAGAGCAGAGTTATTAATATATAGACGTAAGGCATGCACTGATACTTTTGCAATATCATTATTAACGCATATCTAAATTAAGAAGTGAGGAATTGTAATGCAGAGATATTCAATATACAGTCAGAATGGCATTGCCCAAATTATGCACCTTGATAGGACTGAGATGATCCAGCACTTTCCATACCTCTCTGTATAACTTAATAAACAAGTACGTGTATCACCTGAGACATGCAGAAATAGGGAAGATATGCAGACAAAAACATAGAATAGAATCATAGATTGTTAAGGTTGGAAAAGACCAAGAAGGCCATCAAGTCCAACCACCAACCCAACACCAGCACACCCACTAAAACAATTCTGCTATAGCTATTCAAGTTAATCTTCTATGAAGAGCTGGGTTGCTGCTTCACCCTGGACAGGGCTGGATCTTTTTAGTAATGTTTTCACCACTGAAAAAATGAAACCTTCCTTAGAAGGCAAACACACACACTGGTCTAGTTGCAGTGAGATGCTTTTGCTGAAGTAGTGTGGACAGTTTCTGGCCCTTTCTCCTGGCTGATGATACTCAGTTTTCTAAGGGGGAAGGAGGTTTCACACTACTTTTATCAGAGTGAAATGAACATGACATGCATTCACTGGAAGCATCCAGCAAATACAACTTTTGCTGCATTTGTTTACCTGCAGTGCTGTAAGACGAGGAAAGAACAAAGCAGAGACTTCTATACTGTTCAGTGGAGTCATTCAGAGGTTTGCTTTCTAATGTTTCCCATGGGCACATTGAGTTTGTGCACTCACAGATTCCTGAATTTGGCCTGAACTGCAGTAAGTAGCATGTGCTGCAGAGTGAGCAGAACAAACTGTGCAAAATCTATATTGTTAGAAAGGCATTATGCCGCTCATTTCCACAGAGACCAGGGGAAAGGGATTTGCAATAAAGAAGGAAGAGTGTGCTCAGTAGCAAAATATATCGTGATGGAATCCAGGCACAGTGATTATTACTTAAAACAATAAGAACTCCACATGAGTGGAGTGATTTATCCTCATTTTTTTAATTAAGAAAACACACCCCTAAATTACTGAGGAAGGATTAGATTCCATCTATGGAAAGGATTACAGTGCCTGATGCATATGTGGAAGGATTAGGTGCAATTGTAGAAAGGATTTTGATCACTTCGGTAATATTAAGAAAAACAGATTCTAAATAATGTATCAGGTGTGTGAGCTTGAGCTATTTTTCCCACCGTTCTCATTCAGACAGTAGAACTTCCCCCATTCCCAGTCTCACATTCTCGTTGCTAGTATTTCATTGCCCAGCTGGGGCGTGCTGTGTTCACACTTTAGAGCAATGTTCCAAACAAGTTGCTTTTGTAGACTCACACTGTAACGAGAGCTGGATGCTTTGCATACAGACCAGCTGAATGCTGGCTGGATTCCTCCTCACTTGGTGCTGCAGGGAAGGTAGAGTTGGCTTGGAATTCCAGTATTTTGGGCACCTCACAAACGTCATTTACAATGATGTCAGTGGTTGCTCTGATTGCCAGCAGCCCAACGGGGAGCATCTTAGAGCAGGGCAGTGAATGCTGTCCTGCTCCAGCTGTGTCCTGCCTGCAGCCTCCTGCACCTTGCCAGGGACTACAAAGGGAGCAGTGAGGGCCACGTGTGCTCTCCTTCATCTACTTCTGCCCTAAAGGGGATCCCCAGAGATGATGCTGATAGCAAAGTGGCTCATACTTTATTTTGTTACACCTCTGCTTGAAATTCCCTCACCCACACTGGGAATTTATCTTCTGTGCGGCACCAAGCTCACATCCCTTGATGCAATGGTTGGCTAAACTCAACTCCCTAGATGCAAAACCAACTTTGTTCATTTACAGAAGAGCTTGATCTAGAATAGCTGCAGCCACAGCTGTAATCCCTGCAGAACTGAAAATGCTCAGCAGGTGATGTCCTTGCAAAAAAATGAAGTGAGAAAGTTGCATAAAGGATAGAGTTCTCAGAAACACCACATTAAAGTTGCACCATTTTTCTTTTGAGGTAAATCATTTCATCTGCTTTGCAGGGACTGGGCCTTCAGTTATGTTCTGACAAGCCTGCTCTGTAGGAAGGAAGGATGGATGTTTAATTGATGTATACAGCTAGAACAGGGAAGAAGATGCTGACATTAGAAAATGAAATAAGTAACATTATCAT